TTTTTTTGTGGACTACTGTCAGTCTTATGTTATTCTTCTTTGCATCATCTAGCAGCTGCTGGATTGATTTCTCGTGGTCCCTTACTATTTTTAAGAAATCTCTGTTTTCATGGTCCTTAAGCGCAATCCTGTCTTCTATATCTGATATTCTATCTTCAGAGTCCCTTAATCTGCTCTGCATGCTTTCAGTGGAGTTTTTAATCTCCTGAATATCTATTTGAATCTGTTTCATGGATTCCATTTCTTTCTTCTGTTAGGCAATCATGGTTTCCATTTCTTTCTTATGCTGGGCATTCATGGCTTCCAGCATGTTTCTGAGCTCATCTATTTTTTTATGTTTCTGTTATAGAGCCTCTAATCATGTCTTTCACTCTGCTCATCATCTCTGTAGTTATCTAGAAGATTATTTCTGCTTTGAATTTTTGTAGACCTTCATTCGTTTTGTTAGTCCCTGTGCTATCAGTTCAGGGTGTCCAGGTGGTTGATTATCAGACTTTTCCACTTTGTTTCCCCCAGAATTTGCCTTTTGTGCGATGGAAGTCTGAGTTTGTGCCTACTTAAATGTCTTCTCATTTTTGTTTTTGGTACTGTCCTTGGTTTAGTTCCTGGGTTGATACTTTGAAGTTGCTTATTGTAAGTATCTTTGTTGCCTGTAATCAGAACCCTTATGGAATGATTGCTTCTCAGAGGTGTCTTCCAGATATAGCTGGTCTTTAGGTTTTTGAGTCTCTAATGCCTCTGAGGCTGTCTCATTTTCATTATACCAGGAAGGACAACTGATAAGATCAATCACAACACCTTAGCCCAAGTGATACAATCAGCAACTCAACAGCATCAAGTACCTCTTAGAAAATGACAGTTTGTGGTAGTTATTAATCTATCACCTTTAACTGCAGTGTGCAGTTATAAGTCCATGAGTCCCAGTAAGCCAGTCACAGACCCATGAGATTCAGGCAGATTTCTGGCTGCAAGTCCCAAGTTGAGCTCCCTGTCCTCCTGTAGGGTTGAACTCTGCAAGGCTCTATTGCAGGTTCCAGCTGCCTTTCCCCTGAAGATAGTGCAGGTTCCAATGGGAGCTGATGATCCCTCCAACTTACCAAGTATGGTGCTCTGGTGTGCCATTATTGCAGAGATTCTCTTCACTTTTCCAGTGGGCTTCAGTTTTCATCAGGGAGCCTGAGAGAGGCCCTCTGTCTGTTGTTCACTTCTGCAGCTCAGGACAATGGCCTTTATGTCCCCCTGTGCCTCTGTAGTGTGGAACCAGGTAGCTGCACAGCCAAGAGGTGGGGGGGGGGGCTCTGTTTCTGCAGGCACCCGAACAGCTCCGCGGGCTGCTGGTGGGCGTGCCTGGGGGGGGTCCTCAGGCTCCTGGTCGCAAGTGGGCATGGTCTGCTGGACAGAGCTGGGCTCAGTCACCCTAGGGTGCTCTGCCCACGCAGCTCCGCAGGCGACTGGTGGGTGTCTGTTGTTTTGTTTGTTTTTTTGTTTTGTTTTGTTTTTGGTACTGGGGATGGAACTCAGGTCCTTGCGCTTGCACAGCAGGCAGCGAAACCACTGAGCTAAATCCCCAGCCCTGTTTCTGTGTTTTGAGACAAGGTCTCACTATGTAGCCCAGCAATGATCCTCCTGCTTCAGCCTCCCAAGGGCTGGGATGCCAGGTGTGCACCACCACGCCTGGCATATTTACTCGTCTTTTAAAGAACCCAATTAAACCCTCTGCGTAAGTGCTCTGTCCCCCCCTCCCTGGAAGTGCTCCTTCGCCCTCTTTGGCACACAGGAAGGACCGTGCTCCCTGCCTCACTGCTGTCAGGTGTGACTGAGGCACAGCTCCTGCCCCTGCTGCCTCCTTGGCCCCGCCTGGCCTTCCTGGGGCGGAGACCTGGCCCTGCCAGGAGCACAGGGTGCTGGGCAGCTCTGCACCAGCGACCAGAGGGCTGAGAACAGTGACATGGAAGAGGAAGGGCCTGTTTGGACTCACAGTTTCTGAGGTTCGATCCATGGTCAGCTGGTTCTGTGGCTGTGGGCTGAGGCAGGGCAGGGCACTATGGGGCGGGCATGGTGGGCTCAGCTGCTCATCTGTGGCACGCAGGGAGAGGCAGAGAGGAGGTGTGGACGGGACCCGCCAGCACACGCCCACCATGACACCAGTCAGCCGGCCTCTTAGCAAAGCATGGGCTCTGAAGGCGAGTGGGTTAACCCATGCTGCGGGCTGTATCTCCTCAGCCAGCTCTAATACCCAGCCCAGATCACCCGGGAGGTGCAGGCAAGCACACCCGGAGTGGGTGAGAGCCCCGGGGACTCGTGGGTGCCCCTCTACATGAACTGTGCTCACCATGCCTGACGTCCCGTCCGCCTCCTGTCAAATCGCACACAGCAGTGATTCTGGGCTGGGGTCCTCAGGCAGGTGGCTGGAGTGGCAGGAGCCCCACAGAGCACGGTCCCCTCCAGCCACCCGGGGACACAGTCACACGCTGGGAGGGGCCGTGGGCCTGTGTTTTCACAGCTCTTAAAACATATCCCTGTTCCAGGTTTGCTGGGAGCCACGGCGGGGCCAGGACTGTCCCTCAGGCTGCCTGGGAGGGTCCTGCCCCTTTGCCGGCCCCAAGGGCTGTGTTAGGGCTTCACCAGCCCCGTGCAGGTGGGAATATGGCTCGACCTCCCCCAAACATGGGTCCCCGTCCTCTCCTCCGGGCAGAGTGTTCATGTGCAGAAACCAAAGCCGGCCGAGCGGACGACCCCGCCGGGCTCTGGGCAGCCTGTGTGGCCACCGTCGTCCCCAGAGACGCACAAGACGAGTCACGTTAGAAGGACTCGGTGACAACGTGAGACATGGAAGATGCCGCATGCCCGGGAGTCGCAGTCCCAGCACTCCAGGGCCCGACTGATGCTGCGCGCCCTCCAGGGCAGGGGCAGGGACCATCGCCAGGCGACCCCCTGGGACGTCCACTCTTCTGGCCAAGGCCCGCACCCCGACCCTCGAGCGAGCTGGAGGTGTTGAGACTCTGGGCTGCGCACAGCTGAGGCTGGCTCTGGCTGGGCCCTGGGCCCACCTCCAGCATCACAAAGGGAGAAAAGAAAGCGAAGAGCAGAGAAGCTGCAGGCTGGCGCAACACCCGCAACCTGGCTCACCAGTCTACAGCCCGGGTCAGGCAGGAAGAAATCACCACTAGGACACCCTCAGCCCCGCCCACAGCTCCTGCTTTCCCACAAACCCAGGCCTTCACCCTGAGCTACATTCCAGGCCATTTATGTTGCTTTTTTAGTTTGAAACAGTCTTGCTCAATTGCTCAATTGCCCAGGCAGAGCTAGAGCTTGGGATCCTCCTGCCTCAGCCTCCCAGAGTGCTGGGATTACAGGCCTGCACCACAGGCCCAGCTGCACTTTCTTTCTATTCAAGAATAATTCTACCCTGACCCTTCTTCCCATCTTTGGATAATCCCAGGTGCTTCTCTTGGGCTCTCTACCTGGGTCGCACACCCTGAGCAGGGACCAGAACCCTCTCCTCTCGCTTGTTTCTGAGATCTCGTCCTTCCCCCTGTTCTCACCTGGATGGACAGGAGAGGACATCGCACTGTCCTGGGGCAGGCACAGGGGCTGCCCCACGCACAGGCACTCGTTTGCCCCACAAGGTACCCGATAGAGGAACCGAGGCAGGAAACCAAAGCAAGGCTTTCACGGCGCTCATCAGCTCCAGCACTCGACAGGGCCCAGCTGCACCCAGGAACCGCCCGGCTGCAGAGCCCCTGCTCCCCCAGCATCTCCCGACCGTAGGACCAGCCTGGCCCATGGCCCCACAGGCGGCCGATGGTGCTGGCTGTCCCAGAGTCACAGTGTGCAACACACCACCTTCTCACAGAAGGTCGGGGAATGGCATGAAGGAGACGGAGGACTCTGAAAATAAAAATACCTGGAGGCTGGGACAGGAGGATCACCATGAGTTCGAGGCCAGCCTGGGCTAATAGCAAGTTCAAAGCCAGCCCAAACTACACAGTGAGACCCTGTCTCAAAAATAATAATAACAAAATAAAATAGAAGCAATTTCCTGTTACCATGCTGGGGGAAGATGTGCTAGTTCTCAAAATTCCCTGGCGTCCGTAACCAGGTTTTCAGTGGTCTGCGGTCCATGGAGACCTCTCAGGGCAGAGTTTCAGTGCAGCCTCCTCCAGGATGGCAGAGCAGCTCAGGGGAAGGGTCAGTGGAGGCTCTTTGCATAATAAAACTGGCAACTGAGCAACACTGCGACAGTGGCCGGAGGGTTTCCTGGGGACACGAGGCCCAGGGCCTTGGTGAGGGATTTGCGGGGACCGGGACTCTGGGCGCCTGCTGCAGCGTCAGGAAATGAACAGGCCCCTCTGCTGGAAACACAGACGAACTCCCCCATGCAGAGCGCACTGGGTCTCTTGTTTAGTTACTGGGTTTTTTTGATAAGGCAGATTGACAGTGCATACCAGTAATTGATTGATTTTAACCCAATAACTCCACTCCTGAGAAGTGATGTCCGGAACTAATTCTTAAGAGGAAGACCAGGTGTCAAGTTTCCATAACAGCATGATTCATAGCTATCAGTAAGCCAGAAACAACCTCATTTTTCAAAAGCAAAGGAAACCCTCAATACATTTTGCTGTTTGCATTCTTTCAAGATACTATATTACACAGCCATTAAAAATACGATCGCAGTGGGCAACCCCGGAAGGTGAGTTCCAGGAGTGGCCCCGAAATAAAAACGGAACGAGCGGCAGTCGTTCCCAGCTCAGCCTGGGTGGAGATGGGGAAAGCTGGGCGGCGCTGTCGAGGATGGGGTCTGTGGGGGCCCCAGAGAGGCGCTGGGAGCCCAGCCCGCCGAGGAGGCCCGGACTCAGCCTGCACAGGGAACTCTGGCCGCGTCGGGAGTGGGGCCGGGCTGATGGGCAGAGCGGGCGAGGGACATGACAGGGCCCAGCTGAGCAGTGGGCTCCCTGGGCCGCTGAAGCGCGAGGCCGCCCCGCCGCGGTCTCGTCCCGATCCGCCCTGGAAGAGTCCTCGGGCCCGGGGGGGGGGGGCACTTGGGGCCTGGGGTCCACGGCTCTTGCCCGGAGGGGCTGCCGGTCCGTCGTGGCCACCGCGTCCGCTGGGGGAGCTCATCTCGGGGGCTCTGGGCCCCGCGCTCCTGGCACCTGGGGTGAAGGTGGATGCGGACACCTCTGGGTGCTCCTCCTGACCCTGGATGCGGCGAAAGCGGGGTCCCTGCGGAGCCCCGCGCTTCTCTCAGGGTGCTCGGGCTGGAGGAGAGGAAGGCTCAGCGGAGGGCTGGAAACCTTGCAATAAGCCAGGCGTGGTGGTGCGCACCTGTCATCCCAGGACCCTGGAGGCTGAGGCAGGAGAATGAACAGCCCGGCCTGGGCAATGCAGTGACTGGGCACTTGGGGAGACCCTGACTCAGAAAATGAAAAGGGCAGGGGATGCAGCTCAGTGGGAAGGCCCTGGGTTCACTCCCGGGGCCAGAAGAGAAAAGAGGAAAGAGGAGAGGGGAGGAGGGAGCAGAGGGCTTGCGGCCCGACGCTGCGCTCCGGGGTTCCTGCCCAGCAGAGCGGAGCGGAGCAGGCTGTGGCCGAGCTTCTGGGTAATGAGGAAGCCGCAGGCGCTGCCTCCTTCCCGTCGGCCTCACGCAGGGGCAGGCTCTCGCGGGGCTCAGGCCGGCACCGGAAGGGTCCTCCCTGGCTCCCCGCCCTCCCTCCGTGCTCAGCGCCTGGTCTGCGCGGGGCGCACCCCGCACCCGGGAGGGGTCTGCCGAGCGCGCTCCGTCTGCGGCGGGGCCGAGGGGGCAGCTGTGGCGAGGCCCTGGGCCAGGAGGGAGAAGGTGGAGCCGGGAGGGGAACCGGGCTGGGGTGGGGTGGGGCCTGGGTTCGCCCCCAGCCCCCAAAGAGAAGCCGAGTCAGCACGGTGAGGCGAGGAGCCCCAAACACGGGGACCCCTTCTTTTTCCAGCTGCAACTTAGGACATCATATTCCGTAGACTTTTGGGGGTGCCAGGGGCGTGCGGCCCGCGGAGCGCTAACCCTGCGCTGTGCCTTGCAGGGAGGGGAACCTGGCCACGAAGCAGGTCGTCTTCCTGCAGCGGTCGGCGGCGCGGCCCGGCGCGCGCGCCCCCGAGGTGAGTGACAGCCCCCCCCCCTCCCAGCGCTCACCCTTCACCTCCCGCTGCTCTTCCAAGCCGTGGCGAGGAGGGAGAGGTGGGCGGCGAGGACCCAGCGTGTCGGCGGGGAGCCGCGGCGGCCCCAGGCACCCGGACACGTTTGTGAGGGGCCCACCCTTCTCCGAAACGTGTCACGTTGGGGTGAGGGTATTTTGAGCTGTAGATAATTAAGAAACAGCAGACACAAAGAAACTCTGCCTCCTCTTTCCCACCAAAATAGGGCATAAATTTCACATCATCAAGGTAACCCTAGGTTTCTAGCTGGGCGTGGTGACACATCTGTAATCCCAGAACTCGGGAGGCGGAGGCAGGAGGATCACCTTGAAATGAAGGCCAGCCTGGACAACACAGCCAGGCCTTGTCTCAAAACAACAACAATAATAGTAATAAAGGTGACCTTGGGTTCCTGCTTGTACAGGCATCCCCTTCTGCCCTACCAGGAAGAGGACACGGCTCACACTGGCCTGACTCTGCAAAAACAGACCTCACTGCTGTGACCACGGGGTTCACCTTCCCACGGCTCACTGCCCGGATGTACCCTTGTTGGCAAAGTGGAGCTGCCCCAGGCCTTCTTCTCAAACCACTTTGTGTTTTCCTTCTTTGTTCAAGGCCCTGTGCCTGCTGCCGACCTGCCTTGCGTTCGTTTATTCACTCAAAGGCTGAGCGCCTGAACTTAGGAAGGCAGAGGGGAGAGCGTCCCTCCCCCTGGCTCTGGTGAGGGAGCCCACAGGCTGCCCTCTGCCCACTGCCCTCTGCCCCTGGGCGCCTGCTGCCCCAGCTGTCTGCCCAGGTGTGGTGCTGAGCCTGAGTCACCTCAGTCCACTGATGCCCAGCTGGGCAAGGTAATGAGGTGGGACTTTCCAAGCAAGACCTGTGCAGGGGGACCAGACTATCACTGAGAGGAATTCTTTTTCTGTACCTATATCAAGAAAACCCCATTTCAGAAAACTTTAAAGTTTTCCAAACTGGCAAAGCCAGCCCAGTGGTGCATAAGGTGGCCAAGCTGAGCTCCATGCTGGAAGAGGCTCCCGAGCTAGCAGGGGCTGGGAGTCAGTACATGAGGCAGGAAGAAGGGTCTCCTGTGAAGTCAGCTGGCCTGGGACTTGCAGTGATCCTCCTGCCTCAGCCTCCTGAGTGCTGGGATTACAGGTGTGCACCAAAACACCTGGCTCCCCCGCCCCTGTCTCTCTCTCTTGAATAACAGCTACAAATGGTCATTATTTTTTCAGGAGCGATCACCACAGTTCACAGCTTGATGGGATTTTGATTAACTGAGGTCACAGAGTTGCATTTGTGAAGATGTAAGACCCAAATTCAGCTACTTCATGGTCTCTTTTACTTAGAATTAGATATCAGATTTTTGATTCCCTGAAAATATTTAGGCCATTTTTATTTAACTTTATATACTATCCAGGAGTCTGTAGTGGTAAGTTTTCTCTGGGGACCTTTATGCTTACATCCATTGTTATATAAAATCACTGGTTCATTTATATAATGAGAAAGATGGGTGGGGGATAGATGATGATAGATAGATAGATTGATTTGGCTTGTATCAATGACAAACCCAAGAGCAGTATGTTCTCTAGATTAGAATTCTGCTCCTGGATGGATTTTCTCTTTCTTCACTGATGTCTTTTGGATTTTTCTAGCAAACCCCTCCAGCCTTGGGGTGAGTCCCGGCAGAACACATTGGCAGAGCAACCTGTAAATTCCCCCTAGTTTTTCTTTTGGGAGAGAATGGCTAAATTAAAAATGGCAACAGTGGGGCCAGGGATTTAGCTCAGTGGCACCGCGCCTGCCTGGCAAGCGCAAGGTCCTGAGTTTGATCCCCAGTGCTGGCAGAAAAAATGCCAACAGCGACCAGGATCGGATGAGGAGAGGGAGCGAGCCGAGCTGCTGCCTGCGGTGGGGTTGGACAGTGGCCTGGGCGCCGGAGAGCAGTAGGGCCGCTCCTGGGGAGCTGGGTCCCCACCCCCAGATCAGCAGCCCCTCCAGACTGTTGACTCTAGAGAAAGGCAAACCCCCTTCCCAGGAAAAGTCCTCCACAAACCTACAGCGCTGTAGCCAGAGCCGCGGAAAACTGGGACAACCCACACAGGTGGTGCAGGAGAACTGATCCCCAGTTCCATCCAAGCTGGGAAAGCGGCAGGATTTGGCTCTCTTCCGAGCTGGACAGCGCCCCGCTGTGCACTGCACCTCCAGGCTTCACCCACTGTCGCACCCATTGTGGCTGGCGGCGTCCTCCTCAGAGCCAGTGTGGGCGGCGCTGCAGTAACGCGGGTGCAGGAGTCCCTGTCACGCGAGGGCACGGCCTGTCCCGCTAGGGGCGCTGTCCCCGCGTGCAGCATTTCCTCAGCATTAAGTAGGCCGGTAGGGTGAAGCCGCTCAGGATTCCGTTGTCCCCACAGGGCACTCGTGTCCGCTCCTGGGCCCGGAGCCCCGTGTCCCCCCGAATCTGCTCTGATGTCAGTCCCGAGCCTCTCGACCCGGAGCTGCACCTGGGGCTCTGCCAGCTGGGAAAGCGCTGCAGCGGACTCGAGGGCGGCACCGTGGCAGAACCGGTGTCATGGGGCGGTGCCGGTTGAGCTCTCCCGACCTGGGTCCCTGTGGCTCCAGGACCTGGGCGCGGCCGCCCAAAGCCCAGTGGCTGCTGTTGGGCGAACAGCGTGTCGCTGTTGGCAGCAGGGCGCATCCTCGGGACTCGCTGTGCTGTCCTCGTCATCGTTGTTCTAGGGCCTCTGGGCACAGGCCAAGTGCTAACGCCGCTGCCCCCTGTGTTGCAGAGGAGAGGCAGCCGGCTCGTGCGAGGTGAGGACCAGAGCGAGGCCAGCAGCAGGAGCCTTGGCCCAGACACGGGCACCCGGCCAACTCAGGCCAGGTCCCCGGCCCAGGGCGGCCTCCCATCCCTGTCCTGGGACGGCTGGGCCAAGGAGGGGAGCCTGGCCTGGGGCAGCAGCGGCCTCCGGGAGCTGGAAGACCGGCAGGGCGACCCGGAGGATGGCCTGATGCAGGTCACCTGCATGTGAGCGGGTGGGAGAAGTGGGCTCCGCAGCCCCAGGCCCTGCCAGCCTCAGCAGGACAGAAGCCCAGGCGCAGCCTTCCCCTCCAGGCTCCCAGACACTGAAGTAGCATGGAGACTCGCATTTACACTTCTGTCCACTAAAACATCTGTCCAAGCAGATGTCCCAGTAGTGGCTAAGCAATAACCCACTTCCATTCTCATGGATGTACGAAACTCGCTTGCCCTCTTCCTGCTAAAGAGACTGAAGATCCCAGCCTGACCGTTCCAACTGGCAATTCATGCAGCAGATTGCTCAGGAAGTGAGTCTGACTTCGGCTAAAAAATAATCCCCACCACCCCCACACACAGCTGCGAAAGTAAATAACTATTCCCTGAATATAACAACCCAGTCTTTGTCTTTGACGACGGCATGTATGTATAAAGAAAGCCCCTATGTGTTAAATATTCTTTGAATATTCTGTATGTCTGTGTTTCTAAGGGCGGCTCTGTTACCAACCTGATGGTGATGCATGTGCTTCCATGTTAAGTCTGTTGGCCCAGAAAACCTGAAAGCAGCACCTGGAAAGCACAGTACGGCAGGTTTGGTGCACATGTGTGCACAACATTTCAAAAGGGCTGGGGATGGAGCTCGGGGCCAAAGCCCTGGCTTGGATCCCCAGGACCACAAACACCACACCACAACCCCTTACAGACACGTAAACACTTTGATCAACAGAAAGATTGATTTTCTCTCTTTTAAACTGTAAATACTGCAAAGAGGAAAAAATACCACCTCAGTGGAAATGGAAGTCTTCTCGTCTGTCTAGATGTGACTCAGGCCTCTCTGTGGACCCAGGTTCAAGTCCCTTGGGAGGAGAGGTGCTGGCCGCGCTATGGGGTGTGACAGCCACCCTGCAGCGTGGCTCTTCCCATTCCTGTCTGCAGATGCCCAGCCTGGCCGGGTCTATTGGGAGGGGTCAGCATCCTTTCCTGTGGGTACGGGAGGCTGCTCAGCATGGTGGACCCTTCGAGAATGGCAACTACTTTGCCAGGGATGAATTTCCTTATCATGTATTTTTTATTAGCATTGATGTTGACATTGCAAGATTGTTTAAATAATAAAATGCTGTTTGTTATTGGCCTGCCATTTCATGCAACACAAATCCTCGCATCCCGTTGTGTGCATGACAGACACACACCGCGTGCTACGTAATGTGTGGTGTGACTAGGCTGAGCCACTGTCCTTGGGGTTTTGGAGTGAGATTAGCAGGAAGGGTCCCAGTCCTTCCAAAGCATTACTCTGACAAGTGTAAGGGAACTTGGGACATTCTGCTCACTCTTACTCTGTGGAAACAGCGACCAATATTGGGAAATGGATTTTTCTCTTGATTGTTAGACAAACTTGAGTTCTACATTCAGGACTTCATTTTTTTGGTAGAAACAATCATTATTGGGGCAACAAATGTAGCTCGGTGGTGGCTGCGCCTGCCTGGCAAGCTCGAGGTCTTAAATTCAATTCCTGGTACCGAAAAAAGGAAAAAAAGAAACGATCATCACTTTAGGAGTCAAAAAAATGCCATGATGCTGGGACAACGCCAGCAGCAGCAGCAGCAGCAGCAGCAGCAGCAGCAGAGAACCTTTTCTCCTTCTGTCAGTGCCCGTGGAGAACTGAAAGTTCTGTTTCACTGAAGGAGATCTCAGGAATACATCTGTGTGTGTGGTGTTAGAGACTGAACCCCAAGCCTTGTGCTTGAATTGTAACCTCAGCCCTTTTTATTTTTTGAGAAAGGGTCTCACTTAAGTTACCCAGGCTGGCCTTGAACTTGGTGATCTTCCTGCCTCAGCTTCCCAAGTAACTGGAATTACAGGTTTGCACCACCACACTCAGCTTGTCACTTATTTTTAATTTTTAAAATTTGTATAATCATGTTTTAATTTAGGGTTTACTTTCATTCTAAGGTCTATTTCTTCTTATTAAAAAAGAAAGAAAGAAACAAACTTTTTTAACCCAGGCATGGTGGTGCACACCTGTAACCCCAGCACTTGGGAGACTGAGGCAGGAGGATCACTATTAGTTCAAGGCCGGCCTGGGCTACATATGAGCTTAAGGCCGGCCTGAACTACAGAGCAAGACCCTGTCTCAGCAAAAATAACAAAATAGCAGTAGTAATAATAATCATAAAATTAAAAATTACATGTACTAATAAAAAACATAAATCTTTTAAGCCAGGGATAATGGTGGACACCCATAATCCCACTTACTCAGGAGGCTGAGGCAGGAGAATGGCTTGAGCCCTGGAGTCTGTACCAGCCTGGGGAACACAGCAAGACCTGTTAATAAATGAATGCGTGCTTTTTCTTAGGATCAATGTGGCAATCTGTCATATCTCCCAAGCCTGTGCAGTGAAAATCTGCACCTGCAAACAGAGAAAACCGGGCTAAATGTTAGCCACCAGTACAAATATTGGCTGTAAGATATGAAAACCATAAAACTGAACATTTCAATTTATAGCTTTACAGCATAACATGTTTCAGCATTATTTCCTGTCATATTCGTTAGAATGCTATTCATTCTGAAGATGATTTGTCCATTAACTTTGCTCAATTCAAAGGAATTCCAGGAGCCAGGCATGCTGGCACATGGCTGTAATCCCAGCACTTGGGAGGCTGAGGCAGGAGGATCGCCACAGGGCTACATAGTGAGTTCAAGGCCATCCTGGAATACATAGCAAGGCCTGTCTAAAGAAAAAAATAATAATAGAATCAAATTAAAAATATAAAAACAAAATAATTCTGGAAATATGTGATAATTTATAAGGAACCATAGCAAACTGTAAACTGAGTCTAGTTCTCAAAACATTTTTCTGGTACCGGGGATTGAACTCAGGGCCTTGCGTTTTCAAGGCAGGTGCTGGAACCACTGAGCTAAATCCCCAGCCCTCTCAGAACTTGCTTACAGGCTGGCTATGGTGGCGCACACCTCTAATGTCAGCAGCACTCGGGAGGCCGTGGCAGGAGGATCAGCATAAGTTCGAGGCCAGCCTGGGCTACAAAGTGAGACTCTCAAAAAAAACCACACTTCACTACAAAAAGCTGTTCAAATTTGTGCTTTTCGAACTCCTGAGTGGCACCTACCATGAGTGGGGCTCCGCCTTTGCACGTCTGCCTGCGGTGAGCAGGAGCCTGGTATTTACAAGGTGTCGTCGCACAGAAGCCCGGGCCCAAGATGGCCGCCGTGGGGCAGCAGGGCCCGGGCCTCGGAGAGCAGACCACAGGGCTCCCACGGACCGGAAGTCCTCCTCCTGGGGGACCTGGCACCCAGGGCCTGTGCCTGCCGCGTCTTCATCGCCCGAGTCGGCTGCCCTTCTCCTCGAGACCCTGCCTTTCCTTAGCCATCTACTCGCCCTGTTCTAGGAAGCTCTGCGTGGCCTGCACCACAGACGCAGCCAGCACGCGGGCTTTGACCCTGCTCCCGACCAGGCGGGCTTCTGAGCTTGCACTGGCCACAGCCACCACGGAGTTTCTGACCTGGAAACTGTATTCATACAGGAAGTTACGACTTAAGTGGATTGTGGTCTTCACTCTCAGAAACATTTCTTCCGGAACTCAGCTGTGTATCAAGCGGCTCCAAAGGGCTTTCCACTGTTAACATCTGATTTCCAAACTTCCGCAGTCCCGTTTTAAAATGACAGGTGAAGATGCCAGAGGCAGGGCAGCCAAGCAGGGGCATCGGCACTGCCTGGGTTCTTCAAGAGCAGAGACAACCTCTGAGGGTGCTAGGGGTCTCCTCCCTCCTTTCTCAGCATTCAGGCAGCTGGCGTGGTATTGGAGATGAGGACAGCTCCCACCACCCGCCGCCCAGGTCTCAGCCTCACTCAGGCTGGAAGTCAGAAATTCACTATTTTCAATCCTCATTTGAAGCTGGTGCTGTTCTCAGGACCAATCAGATCCTCTTTTCCATCCTCATTTGCATACGGGCACAACCAATCAAAAGACACTTTGGGGTCCTGTATTTACACGTAACAAGAAGCCAAGGAGCTTTTTGTTTTTTGGTACCAGGTATCGAACTCGGGACCTTGCGCTTGCGAGGCAGCCGGCGAAACCACTGAGCTAAATCCCCAGCCCCCCAAGGAGCTTTTGGATAGGTGGTTTACACAGGGCAACTCCAAGCGAGTATCTGATAGGACACTGTTGCAGTGCCTCATTTGCATGAGGAGATAACCTGGAACTTTAGGTTCAAAAGACCCATTTCCTTTATGCTGTGAGCCTTCCCACCAGTTGGCTCTCGGTCTGCAGAATGTACTTTTCTGCCATCCATGAACACACTTTTGCTTGCTTTTCTGTCTTGCCCAGTTCTGTTTGGGACATGAAGACCCTGGAAAAAAGGCCTGCGGACCCTCTACCCGCAGCACTACCTTGGCGGGTGCGCCAGGCTGCAGCCCTGCAGTGTGCGCCCCCTGCCGCCTCGGCCAAGGCCCTCACTTCTTAAGGTTCTCCTGTCAATTTGTGCCTTTAAGCAAGGGCCCAAGCTGGCTCAGCACTTTTTTGTTTTTGAGACGGGGTCTCGCTGAGTCAGTAAGTTGCCCAGGCAGGTGCGGCTCAGCCAGCAGGTGAGTTTGGGTGTTAGCGGGAGAGGGGCAGCTTCCTGACAGCCACGAGTTTGAGGTGGGCACAGTTTCCGGGAGGGAAACAGGGCCGGGGGTCTCCAGCCGCTCTCCTGAGCACAGGCCTCGCCACCACTGTCCCCACCTCTAGCGGAGGCAAAGACGCCACGACCGGAACCATGGTGGCGGCAGTTGGATTCTTAGGCAGGGAGGTCAGCAGCCCGAAGGGGGCTCCTGGGAAACCACCTGGTGCCCTGCGGCTCTCGGGGCCTCCTCAGAGAGGGGTCAGTCGCCTGCCCCTGAGCCCCTCATGCCCTGGCAGGCTTGAGGGCGTCCTGCCAAGGACACCTCCGGAGGATGGGGCAGCACCTTGGCCTCCAGTGTCAATGCCGCGTGGCACCACAGGCAGGACGGCCCTCCCGGGGTCGCCAGGCCCGGCCCCAGTGCAGGAGCCTCAGGTGTCCCAGGTGACTGGTGCTGACCTCACGCTACTGGGAGGTCACATGGGTGGGCGACTTCCTGTGTCCTCCTCAGTGGCATCTCTGCCTCCCAGGCACATGAGGCCTCCTTGGCAGGAACGCCAGATGCTCGGGTTCCTGCAGCCTCGCTTTGGTTGTTCTGGGTCTGTGAAGTCATAACCTCACAATTCCTCTCTGGCCCCAGGATCTGATGAACACCAGCAAAACCCAGCCCTGTCAGCTGTACGAAGAGGTCACCAGCTCGAGGTTTGTTCTGGTTTTTGAGACAGAGCCTGGCTATGTTGCTCAGGCTGGATTTGAACTCCTGGGCACAAAGGATCCTCCTGCCTCAGCCTCCCATAGACAGACTACAGATGCTCAACACTGCCAGGGCCTGACTTGTATTTTACATTCAACTCCCAGAACACAGCCAGCCTAGGGGTGGGGGGACTCAGTGGCAGAGCTTTTGCCTGGCAAGCACAAAGCCCTGATTTGATCCCCTGTGCCGCTAATTAAAAATAAGGAAACCAACCAGGTGTCGCACAGCCCTGGGAGGCTGAGCCGAGAGAATCACCTTGAGCTACACAGAGACCCACCGCAAAAAGCCAAACCAAACAACCCCCAAAGAATAGGTAACAGCAAATATAGGCTTTCTGACAAAAGGTGCTGCCAAAACAATATCCATGTGCAAAACAACAAAACCAAGGGGCTGGGGACTTAGCTCAGTGGTTCTGGCACCTGCCTTGCAAGCGCAAGGTCCCAAGTTTGATCCCCGGTACCAAAAAAAAAAAAA